CTGACTACCACAATTTTTTTTCTTGATTTCTTTTAGTGTTTCTTAAAGCCAGAAAGTTGCCATTTGAAATGACTTTAGTTTTGTGTCATGTCTGTGATCTGCTTTTTTTCTACAAAATTAAACAACTGAATGAACATCCTCCAAGACTGGTGATTCCATAATTTTTGCCAGGGGTTGTATAGTTGCGTCATCCAGGACTTGTGTGTGTCTGCTACTTCGCACAAAGCACCTCGAATGAACATCATCTAAAGTTTGTATTTGATCCAAAAAAATCTCTGCTTTTTATCAATGTCTGAGCCCCATTTTAACATCACATCTTGACGCCCCTTTGCATCACAGTGTGCACCACAATGCACATAAAGCTAGCATAGCATCAGCTAAATAAGCTACAAACAGCCACATATGATTGGTGCATCATTGGAGCACTGAAAAAAGTAGAAGCCAGATCAGCTTTATTTGTGGCGCATCACACCCATCTGCAGGACAAGTGTTTGTAGCTCAGTTTATAGCTTCATGTCACCGGCTTCCTCTTAAAATGACTCGTAGCCTGAGGCTTTGTCACTTGTAGTGTGAACACAGCATCAGGCTCCCAGATAACGTTATCTTCTGCCTTCTGTTGAGTGGGGAATTTACAGCTCACAGCAACTTAATATGACACAGTCTCTGGCTTTTGTTTGATATCTAGTGCCAGCGAAAACCTCTCTCCATCTCTTAAGCACCTGTCCATGCCCAGTAAATCAAAATTTACAACAAAATTCAGCTACTTTGAAACACTAGTGAGATGGCACAGTAACACTGTTGATATGTGATCATAGCTTGGTGTATATAGTGTGTTTTACAATGGTTTCCAACGCAGCTCAGCCAGTCATCATTAGGCAGGAACACTTAAGTACTAAAAGCTGAAAAGGTGCATGAATGTGCTCTGACGTCACTCCAACCCATTTGTCTCCACAAGGATCGACCTGGAAGAGTGGGAACACGTGACCTGCATGAAGACGGTGGCTCTGAGGAGTCAGGAGACTGTGTCCGGACTGAAGGGCTATGTGGCAGCAGGGACCTGCCTGATGCAGGGGGAGGAGGTCACCTGCAGGGGCCGGGTGAGCAGCACATACACAGTTCCAGCACACTGACACAGAGAGGCCTTCACACTTCCCCACATGATGATGAAAGGAAGCGACTGATGGCTTCTCGTTTTGATTCCTTTGTTCAGATTCTGATCCTGGATGTGATTGAAGTTGTGCCAGAGCCGGGTCAGCCCCTCACCAAGAACAAGTTCAAAGTGCTGTATGAGAAGGAGCAGAAGGGACCGGTGACGGCTCTGTGTCACTGCCACGGGTACCTGGTGTCGGCCATCGGACAGAAGGTCTCACATCACAACCCTGATTCAAGATACTACTGTTACCTAGTTACTGAGCCGTGCTAGATCTGCCCTTCACTCATAAAAACAGTTATCTTGTCCAAAAAACTAATGACAGACTAACTTAGAATTGCTTGTAAATAAGCTAAAATTGAGTTTTCATGTTCCTCCGTGTTCCCGCAGATCTTCCTGTGGGTCCTGAAGGATAACGACCTGACGGGCATGGCCTTCATCGACACTCAGCTCTACATCCACCAGATGTTCAGCATCAAGAATTTCATCTTGGCTGCAGATCTGATGAAGAGTATCTCACTGCTGCGCTACCAGGAGGAGAGCAAGACGCTGTCGCTCGTCAGCAGGGTGAGGAAGTGACACCACCGAGGCATTTCAAGCCCCTTTTACACTGCCAGATTTTCCACGAATGTTGGGCCGTTTTGCCGGCAAGCTGCGAGCGTTTATACACACGGAGCCGGATTGGCGAGTTGATCAGAGGTGCCCAATTTTCTGCCTCGTAGGGTAGACATATTAACCCGAGGCGGCCTTCTGCAACGGGAGGAGCTGTTGATGACTTGTGGGAGGAGCTGTTGATGACACCACACATGCGAACCACAGGCAGTGGATAAACAGGAAACAGCTGATAGCAGGAATTAGTGAGCAGCTAGTAGCAAGAGGGAAACACAAACCTGACAGACACTGTAAAGATGAGCAACTGGGGAGACAAGGAATTACACGCCCTCCTTGTCCTCGCAAACGAAGAGGCCATTAACCATCAGATGACGGGGACGGTGAAGAACGGGCCGACTTAAGAGAGAATCGCCGAAGGACTGACCAGCCGCGGCTTCCCTCCCACGTCACTGTTTATGTCACACGCTGAGCTACATGTTTTGTTACTTGTTCACGATGATACCGGTGTAATTTTTAATATCATATGAAAAAAGAATATCTCGATACTCTCGATATTTCGACTTTTCGACATATGGATGTCATACTGTTAATCACGGCAACAAAGCATGGCTCAAAGCGAAATTATTACCGACTCCGCGGTGGTTCCAAAAAGAGGAGCAGCTTCAGTAGTGTGGAATAAACTGTGGCAGTAGAGGCAGTAATTCTAGTTTACTGTATCATAATTATAAAAGGTGGTTTGTTGATGAACATATTTCCAGTATCAGTAATCGAGGTAGCAAGCAGTGTTCCATAATTGCATGCATTTAACTGTTCCCTCTCAGAGTGAGGGCCAGAGGAGGTTACAGACAATCAGGCCTAAGTGTTGTATTTGAGTGGAGAGGAAGATTAAGTGGAACCTGTGGGCTGCAGCACACACAGTGGAGTGTTTATTGATTAAGATGTACGAGTGAGTATTGATGGTGTGTCTTCTGTGGGGCTTCGGTTGAGTTAATCTTGCGGAGAGCAGCTCTGGCAGCTGGAGATAATTCAGGGAGTGTAGCTGTCTTTGTCGGGATTTAACACTTCTCTTACTGTGTTGGCAACAGGATGCAAAACCCCTGGAGGTTTACAGCATCGAATTCATGGTGGATAACAACCAGCTGGGATTCTTGGGTAATGTTTTAATGCCATTAGGGAGCTAATTCACTTCAGTTAATAAAAAATATCCGTCTGTTCTTCTTCATTGACTTTTCTTTTTCCTTTCAGTGTCGGATCGAGACAAGAACCTCTATGTATATATGTATTTACCTGAAGGTATGTAACAAAGACACACGTACATGTAATGTGTCTCAGCATCAATGCACGTCCGGTCATGTGATGTGTGGTGTGTGTTTGCAGCTAAAGAGAGCTTTGGAGGAATGCGGCTGCTGAGGCGAGCCGACTTCAACGCCGGAGCGAACATTAACACGTTCTGGCGGATGCCGTGCAGAGGAGCGCTGGACACTGGCAGCAAAAAGGCTCTGACCTGGGACAACAAGCACATCACGTGGTTTGGTAAGTGGCCAAGACTGCTGTCAGAGTAGCTGTAGCTAACACCTTTACGAGAGAAGAGTAGAGACGTGTCTACAGGTGATGGGAAAATGGAAAGTGACTCCTGGAATGATGATTGAGATAATCTATCTGTGGTCTGTGTTTAGTGGACTTGACAAAAGTTATATTCCATAAACAGCATTACAGCAGGTAGCCTGGCACTTAAACAGCCTGCGAGATGTTATATTGTCTCAAGAAAATAAACGACTGGAGTCAGGGGAAGATACAAACAAACTGCAGACACTGATATAATCCCGGGCTGTAGGTAAAGGAGCGAGAAGCCACAGATGTAGAGGAGAGGATGGTCGTGTTCCTGAGGAGCTGCATTTATGTTTGACAGAGTTAAACTGGTTGTTGTGCTGGTTTGTGAGGAGACAGAAGTGTTGGCCTCTCTCTCTCTCTTCTAAAATCAGCACAGGAGGGTGTTTGTAAATGAGCGAGGACAGATTTAATCAGACTCAGGCTGAGACCTCCATCACCAAAGGTCGATGATGCATTCAAGTGCACCGCAGAGTAGTTCTTCCGAGTTCAGTGTGTTAATAAGGTTTAAGTTTTAATGTGGAAACAATAATATAAAGATGATGTGTTGTATTTTATCGCCATGAAGTATGATGGGGGACTCATTTTTCAGATTTTTCTGACATCACATGAATGCAGCACAAGTCTGCCGAGGTCACTGAGTCGCCTATAGTGCCCTCAAAGATGCTTATGTGGCCTTCGTGGGATGCTGAAATGCGTTAAAATGAATATTGCTTTCATTGATGTAAACTTAAACATGACTGGTAGTGCACTGAAGAGGTTTTTGGGGCAGGCGCCAAAACTGTAAAAAGAATCGGATTGACCGTCACTGTTTGAGAGCTTCACATATTCAGTGTGGACTAAACCTTGTTTTTTAACATCTGTGTCCCCACAGCGACTCTCGACGGAGGAGTCGGCATGCTGCTCCCCATGCAGGAGAAGACTTACCGTCGTCTGCTCATGTTGCAAAATGCTCTCAACACCATGCTGCCTCATCACGCTGGTCTGAACCCAAAGGCCTTCAGGTCTGCAGCTGCCTGTAGTGCTACCTGAGACCATATTTACTTGTGTTTTGATTAACACAGAAGAGATACAAATGAAACAACTGATGTTTGATCAAACCATTTATGTGTATCCTGCGTCCAGAATGCTGCACACCAACAGACGCAGCCTGCAGAACGCTGTGCGAAACATCCTGGACGGAGAGCTCCTGAACAAGTACTTGTACCTCAGCACAATGGAGCGCAGTGAGCTCGCCAAGAAGATCGGTACCACTCAGGACATAGTAAGTGCACTAACAGACGAGAGGATGCACTCAAGTCAGCTTTCTTTTTCTAACTCCCCCCTCTCATTGTGTCCTCCCTTCATCACCAGATCCTGGATGACCTTCTGGAGATCGACAGAGTCACGGCTCATTTCTGAGCGCCACATTCCCACGTCTCGTCCACTCAACGCTGTTTTATACTGAACGGAGAATATGTTTTGTTACGGCCCTCTTTGTGCAGAAGTGATTTGTTTTTCTTACCTGTTAGATGAGAGAAAGGGCAGTCGTGTTTCTTAGGATGTTTGTATTAAAAAAAGATAATTTACACAAGCTGTGTGTGTGTGTGTGTGTGTTTATTGAGCTCTGCGTGATAAAGACATGGAAACCTTAAAGAAGGAGGTAGAACATTTTATTAACATTGTTAAAATAATTTAAAAACATTTGGTTAGGTGACACTGGTCTGTTCGTTTGGCCTGAGTGGACTCATTGTTGAACTGAAGTCAGGAGGGACCAAAACACAGACAGCATAACTTCCATTCATGTAACACTAAACACAAAGGGTTAATCCAACACGGAAGGAGCAGTGTGTAGGATTTAGTGGCATCTAGCAGTGAGGACTGCAGACTGCAACCAGCTGAAACGTCTCCCATGTGACAAGCGTGAGCTCCTGGTTAGAATTCTTCAGTGTTCATTGTTCTGGAGGTTTTCACTGGGAGCCAAAATATCTGCTGAGGTCTCCTCCTCTCCAAAACAAACACATCAGGTGATTATAACTGATAAAAACACTGAATAAAGCAGCTTCATCTTTAAAATCAGTTGCTGCTAGCGCTAGCCCAACACCTGCTACTGTGTGCTCGTCTTTCTTCTCTGATGACTTAAGATCCAGACGTTCAGGAGGTTTTTACCAGGAGCTGATTTACCTGCAGAGACCCAGTGATTTAAATCCATAAAAACACAGAAGACAGTTTCAGGTTAAAAATCTGTGCTTTTCCAATGCTGTTCGACTCGTCCCAGCGGGGCTACTCACTACGGTGGCTGATATGAAAATGTGAACTGCCCCATCTAGAGTCAATGTTTGGTATGTCCGTTCTGGTTGACTGTAGAAACATGACAAACTCTAAAGACACTAAAGAAAACATACTTATAATATTAAGTTCCATTTTTGCCAATATAGCCACTTAAATCATACACACTGGACCTTTAACAAGCTGCTGTTTTTTTTTTTTTTACTCTTGAAGTGCTGCATATATCAGGACGCGAGGGGAGACACCCCAGATAAATAGGGTAACATAAAACTTCCCCAGTTGATCACTTACAGTAAGACACTTATTTTTTAAATAAAATTTAACTGCAATTTCATGTTTAAATACTCAGATGAGGCATCATCTGATAAAATGTTCAGTCAGATTCAAACTCTGCGTGCTGTAGGGGTGGAGATTTATGGCTCAGACTGAGAAATAACTGAGAAATTAACTCAATTTCTGTACGTTTTTAGACAAAAACAAGACATTACAGGTAAACAATTTAACTAATAGATAACATAAACTTCCCCAGCTGATTACTTGCATAAAGACAATTATTTTTGGTTAAGTTTTATGTTTAAATATGTGGCATTATCAAATTAAATATGCGCTTTTTGCATGCACTTCCAGAACAGAATCCTTAACTACATCTAAATGTGCATTTTGAACTTTTTCCCGCTCATCTGAAGGAAGACGTGTTACGGAAGAGAAGTAGCCTAAAGTCTTAAAATTGATATGCATGAAAAAAACTGGTTTCACTTGGAGTGTCTTGCCTTAAAATATATATTTTTTTTAACATTTTCTCTCGCTCCAGTGAGATGCAGCTTTACATGATTGTGTGTGGTGTAACAACGCTACAGCTGCGTCAACATAGTCTGACAGAGATACATGTGGCCACTTTCCTTAAAACAAACCGCAGCTTAAAATATCTAAAATTTAAATTTCAAAATAATTTTCTGTCCTAAGATTACACTAAAACAAGAAGTAAATATTAAAATATCTGATAACTTAATGAAGTACATACAGAAGGCTGTTGAGTGCAGAGTTCTGGTTCAGTTTACACTAGAGCGGGTTTGGTGCTTCACAGTCCTGCAGTCGAATACATTCTCACTCGTTCTGAGGTTCAAGTTTGGATGATTTGGTGTGGACACCGAGCAGCACCATTATTAGCAGTGACATCAGGAGCTGCTACAGAAACCAAAGGCTCCTTGCTGCTGTATTGCATTAACTTGTGCGTGGAATAGGTCCTTATTGTAAGTTCCTTCATAGTGTGGCGTCGGTGCACTACCTCAGGTACTCGTACATCTCTGCGTCCAGAGATATGAGACCAAAGTACGACAGCAGGCTCAGGAAGGAACGCGTCACAGTCATCGACGCAATTTCCCATCTGTAAAGGAGTTATAAAATGTGTTGGCGCCAATCACAAAACATCATTTGGACTCTTAACACACACTAAATGAGTCTTTACCTCAAAGCCAGTTCAAACTTGAGGCCCTCCCATGTCGTCCTCAGCCAGCGGAAGATCCAGAGCCTGGGCAGCACGCCTGTCCTCTCTGCCTGAATCTTCCCCCAGCCTCGCACCGCACTGAAAAACAGGACGGACATCACTTGTAGCACCAGTGTCGATTACTGGAGTTACATTTATGATCATGTTGTGCTGTGGGATGGTTTAATTGCCCTTTAACTTCAGCCCATCTCTCAAACAGTGACCGCAGTGTGACCAGCGGCTGCACCAACCTCTTGGCCATGACACAGTAGCGGTCCACTGGCGCTCCCAGGGCGATGTTGATGCTTCGGACCGTGTTGATGTTGCGGAACACGAGCAGCATGGGCCGAGGCATCGCCTTCAGCACCTGCATGATGCTCTCGAAGCGGTCGGTGGCCATTTTGCGCATGTAGGCCGTGTCCTCTCGACTCAGGATGTTGGACAGACCCAGCTGCCGCATGTTGATGGGACGCTGCAGCAGCATCTCGCAGAAGAGGAAGTACTCTGCAAAGCAAGTTAGATGAAATCATTGTTAGGGGGACAACAAGTCTCTTACACTGGACTGGATCATGCACCTCAGGGGAATACACTGCATTCCTTGGCATACCACTCAACAGTAAAGGTAAGTGTCCTCACCTTTGACACCGAGAGCTTTGGAGTACCTCTCCATTGCTGCTTCATCTCTCAGGACTATGGACTTCCACAGCTTACAAAGGGCCACTCTGTCACTGGGGTAAAAGGTCACTGTTAGAGCTGACAGTTAAATATTGTCAGACAGGTCATAACTAAGCAGACAGACCTTACCTTTGACTGAGGTATTCGTACAAGCCGTGGTCCAAAAGGACCAACTCTGCCTTCTTATCAGGACCTGGTCTCACAAGAACTGCAAACACAAAGACATTATCGATCATAATGAATGACTTGTTTGATGAACTTGCAGAATCAGTATCCTCTTTAAAAACACTTTTGTGAACTTATTCATAAGGAGAGGCTATTCTGGTTGAGATTTGACATGACCTCTTTCTCTAAAGCTGAAAACAAACATTTCTGATAAGAATTTTCTTGAATTTTTCTTGAAAAATCAAAATGGACGTAGCCACTGTGATGTCACCCATCGGTTTGTTGACTGCTGTTTTAAAGCCTTGAGTTTGGTATTTTGGCCGTCGCCATCTTGGTTTTTTAGAGCCAGAAGTGACCATATTTGGATGAGAGGGTGGAGCTAACCCTAACACTCACTGCTAGCATGGTTAGCAAGGTGCGTTTACAGCTAATGCTAATTTTTCCTAGTAAAAAAAAAAAAACTTCAAACCATTTAAAAAATGCAATTAGCAGAAAAACAAAATATCCAACTCCTTAGAGGGTCTTTCAGTCCAACTGAACACTGAACAAGACTTTTTTAGGCGACCAAAACATAACGATTAACTTTCATTAACTGAAAATACACTGAAATAGTGACCGCTGTGGTTACAACTTTGCTCTGTGAATCCCACCTTACCAATGTCGCCGTGATAGCAGCTTGTCAACAGACAGAACCCACCTGTCACTCAAAGCGAACACACCCTTAATTTTGTCTAACTTTAAGCTGTAGTAACATATACGAAAGAGACAAAAAATTTGTGCACCAGGCTGTAAACATGTTTTTTCCTGCTCACCCACGCCTTTATTTCCAGTACATTAGATTACTGCAGTGGTCTGTTGTATGACTTTCAAAACAAGCTGTTCGTCAGGTGGTTTTGAACGCTGCTCCTCAGGTCCTGACAAAAACTATGAAATATGATCTCATTACTCCAGTGCTGAAATCCTTTCACCAGCAACCTGTCACTCAGAGAACTGATTTCAAAATCTTGCTGCTTGTGTATAAATCCCTCTGAGGCTCAGCGCCAGTTAAATCTCTGACATGCTTGTGACATATGAACCTTCCAGGACCCTCAGGACATCAGAGGCCGGCCTACTGACCGTCCCAAGAGTCAGAACAAAACATGGTGAAGCAGCATTTTGTTATCATGGAATAACCTCCCAGATGGTGCTGGACAAGCCGCGACTCTGACATTCCTTTTTTTTACACTGCTCCCTGATGCTTAATACTTATACTAATATTCTCTTTCATACTGTCAGACGTGCACACTCACGTACACCGACCTACCCACCATTTCCAGGATGAGGGTCGGCATGGATGAAACCGGTGTAGAATATTTGCTCAGCAAATGTTCGGATCAGTTTATCTGCAGTCTGAAAAAACAAATATTTACTGAGGTATTTCAGACAGCTTTTCCATAATAATAATAATACTCCGCTCTGAATATCATCTGCTGTGTAGAGAGCACCAACTCACATCTTTCAAACTTAATCCTTGTCTTTTAATTTCTTCCACATTGTTGATTTTGCAGCCACTGCAAAACTCTGCTGTCAACACTCTCTTTGAAATGGAGAGGGGGAAAAAGCAGAAACGCTTTAGCCAAGGAAAAGATGGATGTCCAGTTATTTTGTACCGCTGTTAATTAACCTCACCTTACTGGTTTGCTCCCAGAAGACTTTAGGTATAACGACAAAACTGAAGTGTTTCAGCTCCTCTGCGCACCTCTCTGAGTTCCTGGCCTCATTCTCAAAGTCCAGCTCTTGAGCCAAGGTGCCCTTCAAGTCCTGCAGGAAGTGGAATAAAATCAATAATGAGCTAAACATGTTCCACACAGACACATACGCTGGGTAAACTGAGACATACAACTGTTCCCTGACCTTAAGAACCCATCGGAATCCAAAGCTGGGATGCATGAACTTGACAATGTCCAGTAGGATCTCCAATGTTCTGATGTCACCGTCAAACCGATCCCTGAGGTCGATGTACTGCACCTGTGGGGACCAGACGAGGTCTGATTCTGCAAAGTATTTTTTGTGCGGTCTACTCAACATGTGCTTTTGCTTTCTGGAAGTTGAACCAAGGAAATCAAACGCTGACTTTGTTGATACCATCAGCTCTCACCTTCACAGCAACAGGAGTCCCATCAAACAGCTCTGCCTTATGAACCTGGGCCAGGCTGGCAGCAGCTACAGGTTCATGGTCAAACGTTTTAAAAAGCTGCTCTGGGGTTTTGTTGAAGTCTTCTTGGAAGAGAGCATCCACCTGTTGCAGACACAAACACGTCCTGAGAAATTTCAAGCTGTCCTCTTTCACTGAACCACGTGCCATGTTTGTGTTGCACCCCTCACCTCTTTGTACCTCCTGTTCAAGGCCATGTCCTCCAGTATTTGCAGGGTGCGGATGTACTCGGGGGGCAGGAGGTGGTTGAAAGAACACAGACCTTGGCCCAGTTTGATGTAGATCCCTCCGTTCCTCACGGCTCCGTCCACCATATACTCTGCTGCCCTCTGGTGGCAGGCTGACATCTCAGCCACGTAGGATGTGCTGCTCTAGCAGGGGAGGACGGCAGGAAGACATGATTGTCCAGAAAATATTAACGCCACAGTGACAGAAACTTAAAGTGAGTAAATGTGTGACCACCAACCCATGATGCAACCAAATATTTATTTACTGATGCTATTTTTTGTGACATTGAGTGTACAAAAGGGAATGTGTGGTGAGAGATGAGCATGAAGGCCAACAAAGGTCCCTTGACGAATATGAATTAATATTTGTGTTAATCACTGAAAGTTATGTAACCTTTGAGTTTGTCCAAGCTTTTTATTTGTCTCAGAGACCACTGATGAAATTCTGACTAAAACTGGGCAAATGATGCAACTCATAGTGTTCATGCATTTTAATAGCCGACTTACAAAGTAATGAAAAATACACCGGTCTTCATTACTTCTTTTGTTGGATGATATGTCGTCCAAGAAATAACTGCAATAACCAATATTATTGTGGTTATTTCATTTTGAGACCATTTTATGCTCCCAATATTATTACATAATAGCATGAAAATGCAAGTACACCCTTTAAAAGACCAATGAACTTTTAACTCCTACTTTTAATTCTGGGAGCCTTGTGATTTGCTGGTGGATTTACGGAGTGGAGGACGAAGTTGTTGGAGGGTAAAACTATGCACAATGGACTTTTTAGCGTGTTGCGTTGGCAAGCTAACAACTATCAGGACTGTGCCCCTTCCACTTTGAGGCCATGTCCACACGGAGACGAGATTAGGTGTATCCGCAAAGATTTTTTTTATCGTATAGACCTTTCGTAAACACGGAAGCAGCGTTTTAGGAGCCCAAATACGCCAACTTTTGAAACCGGGTCCCAGAGTGAAAAAGTCTGAAAACGCCACCTTTGCGTCTCTGTATTTACAACACAGTACGCCTCTATTCTGAAGCGATGACGCCATAACCCCACCTCTCCCTTAACCAGCATGCGCTAGGCGTAAAGGCGCCGCAACAACAATGGCTGACTACGCATACGCAGTGGTTGCGTTTCTGCTGCAGAAGCTACTGACCCTTATAGCATTTTTGCAGCAGGCAGCAAAAGCCTCTGGCATTTGTATTTTCCGCCATCTTCGTGTTTGTCAAGTTTTATGCGCATGCTCCGTTTCTTATTCTCTGTTTTTGGTGTACTTTGTGGCAGCGTTGCAGCGCCACTTACAGGCCTTGCATATATACTACAGCGTTTTCAGTGGCTTCATTTTGCCGTACACATATCTTGAGACGATTCTGTGTTTATGGAAAACTTTTAAAAAACAAAATCGGTTCCGTCTTTGTGTGAATATGGCCTGAGAACGCAGCTGCAGACTACCCGGTAAGCTCCGCTGTGTCGTCTTTTAAGTGCTGGGGGTTTTTTTCTTCGGATTCGTGCAAAGTTTGGGAAAACTCTGTTTATTCTGGCATCATGTTAGCCGACATTCTCATGTGTGAACACAACGGACCCCATCGAGGTCACGCCCATATATCTTCAATGACATAATTATTGTGACAGGCCTGAGGAAAACATGCCTGAACTTTACATGACTGATGTGATGAGTGGACCAACAATCATTGGTTTTAGAAGCGCAAGTAATTATAGCTGGTACTGATTTTCTGACCTTTTTTATTTTTAGAGTAACCGCCTGTGATAAATTGAGAACTTACCTCATCACGGCCACGAAGAGCCACATTGGTGGTCCACCAGTAATCCACAGAGATAAAGATTCCCACAGAGAGAGCTCTGAGGACACACAGATAAGAAGCTCGCTGGGACTTCAAACAGGACAGGAATGTAAGTTTGTAAGTTTTAACTTGTGGTCATGTATATTGCTGAAATGAATCCTAGACATTCATCCTATTATCGACTGAGAGGGCTGAAATATATCGTCTAACTTATTGTCTCCTCCGTTGAGGCAGAGAGAGTTGTAGCACATGACATCATCCAGCGACTTCTCCTGCAGGCTTTAGCTACGTCGCACTGAAAACAGATGTGGCTGACTCCCTTCTTACCTGCAGAAGCGACCAAATCCTTCAATCACAACCTTCATCCTCCTCCTGTCTCTGGGTTCGGACACAGCATACTGCACACCCACCGCCACAGGAACACCCACAGAGATGCCAACAAGTGTATTCCACAGCAGCCCTCTGCGCTTACCTTCCCTGAAAGCAGGAAACAATCACATTCATCAAGACAGCAACATCGTCATAGATGGACAGTAACCTGTGATGGCGGCCTGACTGCTATTTGGTACCTGAGTGAACTGAAGGATCTGGTTGTTTGGAGTGACGAGCTGCGATGAGGGTATCTCCGCAGCAGAGCCATGTGATGCAGACACAACCTGAACTACAGAGGAAAGAAGGCGCCGTATGAGACGTCACAGACAATTATCATCTAGATTTCATTTAATGCTTCAACATTTCGCTGGGTCACTCCGGCCCTGCAGAGGCATGTCACATATTTATAAAAAATAAGCACTAGATTAAGAAGCATGGATGATGTAACAGGAAGTAAAACACCCTGGCCGTTTTCTCACTGATGATTTGAATGAATGAACACAGATATTTACTGATGAATGCTCAGACTGTGTTCTATGTTCATTACTTAGAGCTCTCTGCACACCTACGTATAGAGCTTACCTACAGGAAAGGTAGCATGCCAGGGCTCGTAGTGGATTACAATGATGACATGAGGTTGTTGCCTCAAGTTCCCATTTGGCAAAGTGCCAGTCAGCAGTTTGTAAGTCATGTGAGGACACTCTAAGATGTCTGATTTTCAATTTCATGCATCGCTTGGATGAGTCAGAGAACAGCATCAGAGGATTTAACCAGCCTCAGGAGGAGCTGCTCTCTGTTTTCATCCAGCCTCAGAAAACATTTAAGGTCGTCCTAATATGTTTGTTTTTTCTTTAAATTGAATAATGACTTGTTGTGGTTTTATCTTGTCTTTTACACTCTTGTGAGTCTGAAACAAACTCTGAATTGAATTACATAAAAGATACCATTATATCCATTAAAAGCATGACAGATGTGCCATAACAAGCAGACAGCAACGAAACACTTCATATTCCCATTTACAAAGCTGCAGATTTCCCTCTGGGCTTGTCAGCAGCAACAGTATTTCTAGGACACAACAGTTTGTAACTGATGCCATAACTCCTATTTACAGAGTCTACTTAAAGGGACAGTTCAGCCTAAAATCAAAAATACACATTTTTCCTCTCACCTGTAGCGCTGTTTGTCGGTCTAGATTGTTTTGGGGTGAGCTGCTGAGTGCAGAAGGAAGTGTGCATCTACTCATGGACGAGAGGCTCGTGCTCGAGACAGCATGAGATGTAAACATTAATGGTGTCCTTCTTAGGTGAACTGTAAAGTCAGCTAGCTCAGTGGTGCTATGTGAGCTAGCAGGAGATGCACGTTTCCTTCTGCGCGGTGATGCGGCTGGCTGGTGTAGTTCAGTAGAAAGAAAATAGTCCCTGAATGAAACTGCTCATAATTTCTGGAAAGAGACATTGCTGTTGAGGTTTTTTTAAATGTATTTTTTTTGGGTGCTTTGAGCACCACAAACTAAGTGACATCTCTACGGCCGATATCTCCAACACTCAGCGACTCACACCAACACAATCCAGAATGAAATGCAGCACTACAGGTGAGAGGAAAAATATAGAATTTTGATTTTGGGGTGAACTCTCACTTTAACCCAAGAAGTCCATATTGTCCGTTGCCTCTGTTTGAAAATGTCGATGCTAAAGTCATGTGCTACTATTGTGCTTACTTCTCCCTGCTGAATCATATGGCTTTCAGCTGCCGCCATGACGGTCTTGATTCCCCAGAGCTGGGCTGCAGCTATTACTGAATAATGTGCTGATTACTATCTTGATTAAATGACTTCATCTGTTCAATAAACTGTCAAAAATTTGTTCAAATATGCCTCTCACAGTGTTTTTAAACCTAAAGTGACATCTTTGTATCGCTCATTTTGACTGTCCAATAATCCAACATCCAAAGGTTTTTTATTGTAGAGTATAAACCAGAGAAAAGCAGCAAATCGTCCTAGACGCAGGGACTCTGGCATGGTATCAAACCAAAACGGTTGCCAGTTCATCTTTTGTAACTGATTGACTGATGAACCCACTATCCCTGTACCATGTCAGCACCTTTAATTCTTAATCCTGCCCCTTCAGTTGGACTAATGACCCGACTTAGTTTATCAGGCCTGAGTCACAAGACAGGCCCTGATAATGTGTTGAGAAACAACAGTCAAACGTACGTGTGTGTGTGTGTGTGTGTGTGTGTGTGTGTGTGTGTGTGTGTGTACGTGTGTGTGTACGTGTGTGTGTGTTGGGAGGAAAGAGGAGGGAGGGGGTCTAGATCAAGGCCAGTATGACCAGCCAGGGTAACTCAGTTGTTTTTGTTCGCTGTCTGCATCTGAGGGACAGAACGTCTCCAGTGTTGACAAATCGATGTCCAGACAGCAGTGATGTCAGGGACCTGAACACTGAGCCACCAAACAAACCTACTGCCACTCACACACTGTTTGCTATCAGCAGGGTGACTGACACAGCAGTGAATGAGGAGGAATAGTCAGACGCTGTTTGATCTAATCTGATCCACACTAATATTCTAAGCCTACTTTATTCACTGTCTTTCACTGTACTTATTTTAAACTAAGTTACAGCTGCAAACAGTAATGGAAAATTGTGAAACACCAACCATGACAAACACATTCCTGTCAATGTCACACACACACGTGTCCAGTTTGTCTCTGACACAAAAACACAGCTTGTACCTTTTATCAGTTTGCCTCAGTCCACTGGTGTCTGCAAACATGACCTGCTAATCACAGCTGACGTTAACGTGGCTATTGGTTAACTAGCTACCTTCAGCTAATGCTACTATCAAAGCTAGCTAAAATATGATTTAAATATGGTGTATTTACCCCTCGGGTGGTCTCCCCTTTCATGTTTCATGTGATACTAAAATAGCTCCGCTCACAGAGATGATATAATGTCCAAAGTGTCCCTCCTGTTAGAAAATTAGTCGACCACGGCTGGTAACACCTCCTTAATTATTCAGCAGCTATCTACTAGCATGTCCAGCCGAAGAGTAAGGAGGAGATGGCGCGGAGGAGCACTCCTTTCTACGTACTTCCGTTTTCGTTTTTTTCGGGTCAGAGAGCTTTATTTTATTCATATGACTATTTTTTCTGCGCATAGAAATGTTGCAATGGTGTAGGTTTCGTTTCAACATTAATTTCAACATTTATTTTGGAAATTGAAAATTTGATTTCCTGCAATCTGGTGAATTTGTGTCTTTTCTGTACCACTTTTTAACGTAATCTTGTCAGACTAAAAGTCTAAAAAAATTGCATTCACTGAATAAATAAAAAAATCGACCCATTGTCTCGTAATTACGAGCTCTTATGTTGTAATTAGGAGATAAGATGTCCTTGAAAAACACAGTAACTGTACTTCCGGTCAACTTTTTTTTCAGAATAAAAGCGTTATATGTGTAGACTACGGAAGCGCATTGAGATAATTATGACATCAGGATCTCATTATTACGAGATATTATCGCATTATAACGAGACAATTTGTCGATTTTTTTTAATTCATTCAGTGAATGCAATGCACTTCCCTAGAAGTCCTTTGCTACTTTCATGTTTTATTTAGTGTGTGTGTAAAATTACTTTAATCCCTTAAAAAAAACACCACTGATTTCATGTGTTGAAGCGCATTGCATTCACTGAATAAATTAAAAAACGGTACATTATCTCGAAAATTACGAGACATATCTCAATGCGCTTCCGTAGTCCACAGATATTCTGCTTTTATTCTGAATAAAACATTGACCGGAAGTACCGTCCTTGTGTTTCTCGTTTCCCGCTGGTTTTCTACCCGGAAGTATTTGTAAACAACAAGGTGATTCCCTCCGAAGGGACACTAACAACTCAAAGTACACGTCAAATAAAATTTCTCCAAACACGTTTCTTGTTATTTTAGGTAGTTATTATCACGCTAATGTAGCCTATGTTCAAGTGTCCATTTCCCCCGGTAAGTTGGTTTTCATTCGTTATTTCATTCTATAAACACAGTCTGACCATCTCGAGCTTTTATTTTGGTACTTCCGGTGACCGGCAGTGTGAATTTGCATATTAGCTAAATATTTAGTTTCACCCAGAACATTTAGATTTAACATTTAACATTTAGATTTAGATTTAGATTTAATATTTAGATTTAACATTTAGATTTATATTTAGTATTTAGATTTAGATTTAATATTTAGATTTAACATTTAACATTTAGGTGCCACATTTAATATTTAGATTTAACTATTTAATATATTTCTAAGTTAACAAATATTGCTGTAAATGTAGTAAAAGGTGACATTAAAAAATTCACAACACTTTTTTAAACATTGTTTGAAGCTAAATGTGGCAAAATGTTTATGTTATTTTCAGCGTGAGCCACTTTACAAACGGCACCCCATATGTGTGCGTGTGTATGTGTGTATACTTCTTCTCCCACATTAAAAGAAACCTAGAATCAATAAATCTGTAGTCTAAATAATAATAATAATAATAATTCATTTTATTTATAGGAGCCTTTCAAAGCTCTCAAGGACACCTCACTCAAACAATTGAGTAATGTACAATATAAGTTCATATAGTTCATATATATGAAGAAGAATAATCACCTGAGCTTTGCACTTTTAGTGGCCCAAGAAACGCCTCTGCCCATGTTAGAAGGTTCAGATCTCTGTTGAGAACACATCAGATCATGTAAAGGAAATGTTAAGTGGACATGCTGACTGGGCAGATTTATATCTTGATGCTTCACTCTCTGGTAGGAGGTACCACTGATACGTCATTGATTATGCAGAGTGGTTCGAGGAAGAGCCCTTGAACAAGAGCATGGATACCAAGAGGCGAAGCTCAACAGAACGCCCCATAGCAACAGACTCGCCCATGGTTTCATCCTACCGCCGCCATTTTGGACTGTCAGCAGACCGCAGCAGACCCGCTTGCATACAAAATCACACAGACAAACTGAAGTATATCGCTATTAATTATGCTTACAATGCTACTCACCTCGTGATAGCTTGGTCACAGCTGCTTTTTCACGTTTTTGTAAAGCAAAATATTGACTTTAAAAAAAACAAAACGAAGAAAAACGGCCTGGATGACATCTCTACATATTACATCCACTTATGAGAAGATTAACTTAATTACGCCTTCAAAATCACCCCATAAGCCAATCTACCAAAAAAATT